GAGAAGTAGTGAGAATTAGGAGATGAATATTGTCTTTAAAGGACTATAAACAAGAAATCACCCTGATTTCTCAGAGAGAAATGGATATGACACTGATCTGTCACCTAATACAAACAAAATTCCTATTCCTGTAGCTCACTGAAAGACCTTAGCAGAGGGGCCAGAAGCAGTGCATGGCTTATCTAGGAAAAATTTTGATCACTGTGAATTCACATGGTATTTTTTGTTTTGTCTGAAAGATCTCAAAGTTTCTCTTTGATGTACCTAGTGATTGCCAGACTTTCAGTTCAGATGCAGCATTGTTGTGCCTGAATGCAGCATATTTCAATCTGATGTGCTTGAGCACAGGAGAGACCTTGAATATAAGGAGAAAACGGTTCAAACCCTATCAGTAATTTTCAGTGCTTCAGCTTTCAAAATTGCATTACTTTTCAGTATGGTTTCATATATCTTGACCAATTATTAAAGGTTAGAACTATTTTTCAGTAGGCTGTATTAACATTTTAGTATCAGCTGGTAAATACAGATGAAAAATTCACCTTTTATTTTACTTCAGTACAAAGTCTACTTTTAAATCATTGTGGAATTTGTTTTAAGGCATTAGCTAAAAGTCTTCAAACAGCTTATTATCATGAAAGTTTCATGGCAAAACCTAAAGTGATGATAAAGCTTTCAGAGAATTAACAAACACCTTATATTGCAAACAAATCTGTAATTCTCTCATTATTGAGTCCTTTTATTTCTCTAGTGAAAAAGTTATCTAGAATCTTAAAATAAAAGTGGTGGTATTAAGCCAAACACTGCCTTGCCAAGCATACAGTGTTGCTTGCAGGGGTTTTTTTGGGTCTTTTTAGAAATCTTGATGTCTGTAGCATTCATGTCTTTTTTGGGTAACAGCTGACAAACTTGGGGTCTGCAAAATACCCCTCCTGAGATCTGACATTTGATCTCAGCAAATAGGAGATTGCTATTTTCATGTACAAATAGAAACATAATTGCATTATCATAAAAGTCAGATTGCTGTTGGCTGTATTGCAAATGCCCATGAGTGTCCTCTTGATCCCAAAGGTGGTATCTAATGTAAAAGATTTTTACATTTTTACTGAAATAGCTCCCTCTGCTAATGTCTTCAGGATGAAAGCAGCAAAAATCCAACCATAAATATACTTTAACATCAGTAAAGACACGATTCAAAGTATCTTAAAATTTTTATTTTAAGTCCTCAGTAAAATAAAGGAAATAGTTACCAGCAAATGGAAAGGAAAAGTTCGTTATCTCAGCTACTGATATGAAAATTCAGACTCACTTGAATCAAACCAGTGGAAGTGTTTCACTGTCCAATGCTGCAGCTGGAATCTAAATTGGGATCAAAGACTGGAAGCATCTCTTAAAGGCCAGAAGAAACAGCAAAACCAGAAATTATAATTTTTAGCCTGCTTTCCTAAGGAGAGGAGACACAAACAACCATGCTGTATCTGTCTGTCCCGTCCCTAGTAACCTGGAGGCCACTGATCTCTTTTAAGGAGATTTAACAAAGCAATATTAATTTCGAAGATGCTGTGTCTCTGTGTGTTTTCCAGAAATCAGAGGAAGTGGGGAGACTACTACTGTTTGTGTGGACCAAGGACTGTGATCGGCTTCACTTTAACATGTCACGTCCAGCCGGGAGCTCAGGCAGCAGCTGCAGCCTGCGAGCAAATATGGCTGGGCCAGCACTGCCCTCAGGGACTGATTGCACACCTCACCAGGTGCTGAAAGCTTTGTTGAAAGTCATGTATTCCTTTGGAAGAGGAAGTCCCTGCCCTGGGTAAGATATGTTGTAGTGTAGACAGATTGTCAAACAGGTGCCCAGTTTCTCTCCTCTGAGTTGTGTAGAATTGTTTCATCGGGTGGTGCTACACTAGTGGGCTCCCTGCCCTTCTCTTTTTCTTCCCCAAAATGAGCTGCCTGGCCTGACACAAAATCTTGCTGTACAAATAAGCGTGAGTTAAAACAGAGATGGAGAAAGGACATTCTTATTATTCCTACTTTAAAGCCAGGCTCAGAGTCCCTGTGTGTTGTTGTTTAACCCCAGCCAGCAACTAAGTACCATGCAGCCACTCGCTCACTCCCCTCCTCTGGTCATGAGGAGAATCAGAAAGAAAAACCCATAGGCTGAAATAAGAACAGTTTATTAATTGAAACAAAATAAAATATTGTAATAATAAAGATAATAATAATAATGAAAAGGAGAAAGAGAGAGAGAGGAATAAAACTCAAGAAGAAAAGTGATGCACAATACAATTTCTTAGCACCCACTGACTGATGCTCAGCTTGTCCCCAGGCAGCGAGGAGCCTCTTGCAGCCAACTCCCTGAGCATGACATTCTATAGTATGGAATATCCCTTTGGCTAGCTCTTTGGGCACCTGCTCACTGGCAGAGCATGGGAAACTGGAAAGTCCTTGACTTCGAATAAGCACTACTTAACAACAACTGAAACGTGTGCACTATCAACATGATTCTCATCTTGAATCCAAAACACATCATTGTGCCAACTAAGAAGAAAATTAACTCTATCCAAGCCAAAACTAGAACAGTGTGTTACACAGGACCTAAAGGGAGAGTCAGCAGCAGAACTGGGAGGTAAATGCAGAACCTTGAATCACAGCCTGTAACCAGGGGTAAACTTTTCCACAAATTCCTCGCAAGCTGCTGTGGGAGAGAAAGTAGATTTCTGAGGAAATGGGCAAGTGCACAGAAATTTTCAGCAACACTGGATACATGGCAGTCAACAAAACTCCTGTAAAGGCAGTATCCATTATGTATTTCTGGCAGTCCTTGATGGTCCTTCTTTGTGGGTTTAACTACACACAGCCCAGGTCTTTATTTTATCAAGAAGCCTGGGATTTGCAGCAGCAGCACTGATTGCACTCCCTGTACACCTGCAATGCACCTCATGCCTCATCAATAAACAAAAAAAGACCTAATAATCTCTGGGATGTCATGCTGGTTCTACTTCTCCCTTTCCAAATCACACCCTGGTTTTTGCCACAGGCAGGTGTGCTGCGGGTATCTGGAAACCCCTATCCTCAGACAAGGAGTCCTCAAGTCTGCATTGTCCTCCAGGACTTGGTTTCAGTTCCCTTAGGGAAAGGTCCTGCAGCTGACCTAAAGCATAAGCTTTTCTCAGTGGGAGGGAAACAGCAGTGTTTTAGCTGCCTATGTGCCACCACAGGCAGCTCTCATGGACTCTTATTTCCTGCAACTGAGGTTCAGAAATCATTCCCACAAAGACTTACCAGGGCATCTTAGTACTGCTGTTTAGTGATTGAAATCAGGAACACACTGGCACCTCTGCCGTGGTGACAGGGCTACACTCACAGGTGGAGATGTCCCTACTGCACTGAGCAGGTCCTATTCTCGTGTTCCGCTCAGATGGCCAGCAGTACTCCCAGCAACATGCCAACAGTCCTGATGAGAGATATATAGCTTCTTCTGTGGCTGCTGGTAAATGCTTTTCTATTATACATGCAGCTATCTGACTTCTGCAAGAATGGAAATTAGTTTATGTCCCAGACCAGACAGCAGAGTGGCTACAGGATCACTTTCTCCATACAACTTAATTTAGGCAATTATCTTCTACACTGCATCCAACAACTGCTTAATAAGAATACCCTTTTATTGAAAAAGCTTTGTTCTGTGACTTTTTTTTTCAGTTCAAAGATCCGATGCCCTTCATCAGTTTGGGTTCAGTTGCTGCCCTCATTGTAGTGGTAACTGCCCTGCTGGCTCTTTCCCTCCCTGGCTGATGAGGGACAAAGTATCCCGCTCTCATTCTTGCTTCTCCTCCTGGAGGCTGCTGCCCTGGGCAGCTGGAAGGGATGGATAGGAACACCCTGAGGTGGCACAGTGCTGCTTGAGGAAACTGACTCCTCATCCTATGTGAGAGAATGGGAATAAGACCAGGAGCTTTGGCAGCTGGTGACCAGGAATAGTGCAGCAGGCTCATGCAAGCAGTGCTGCCTCCAGTTTCAAACAAATAAGACTAATTTGAGTATGCTTGTATGTATTCATATGCTTTATTTTTTCTCTGAAGTGTCTGCAAGACCTTTCTTTGTGTTGTGGTATGCTAAAGGGTAACTGTCGTATTGCAGGAGATCAAATGTCCCTGTGTGCCTCACTGGCCCAGCTGGTTAGCACAGCTGACACAAGCCATAGCCAGCACAGCACAAAGACATAGAGTGGCTTACAGCCTGTCCTTGTTTCCAAATGCATAGGGGCAGATCTCTCCCAAAGCCTACGACATGTCTCAGACAGTAGTCTCCAGTGGTTCTGCTCCTGTCAGAAATGACCAGCCTTTTCATTTGAAAGATTGCAATCTCATCACAACCAAAATTACCCAGAGCTCAGTGGGTGCCATAAGTCCCTGCTTGCTTTAGTCAGGCAGGTGGTAATATTGCTTTTAACACCTTCAGTACTACAAGGAAGGTAAGCAGAGGGCTCTGAGCAGCCTGATCCAGTTGAAGACATTCAGTTGAAAGAGAATGTAGCTAGATGACCTTTACAAATCCTTCCAACCCAAACTATTCTATAATTCTATGATTCTGTGATTCAATTTCATATGAGCAAAAAAAAATGCCCTATTTCAAATCTTACTCTTTTTATTTCTGGTCTTCAGATTAGGTGGGAATTTGTGCCCTATATTCAAGATGTACTGTCAAATTTCTGCCTCTACTATCACAATATTCCTGTGTGCTAAAGCATCTCTTGGCATGCTACAGCAATTATACATTTATCAGCCAGATCTGTTTCCAGTTGAGAGAAAAAATAGCTTTTGCTTGGGAGCTTCAGAGTATTTTAAATAGCAGGGTGATTCCCCAGAATATACCAGATGAGCAATTACCACCTTTAAATCATGTACTGTATGTTACTGCTCCCATGAATATATGCCAGCCAGCATTATAAAATAAAACAATGCTGCATCACAATATGGTACAGGGGACATAAAGCTACTGGGATCCTTAGGATAAGGGCTAAAACATAGCAACAGTCCTCACTCGGATAGCCGTCACCAGGCAACATTGTCCATAGCAAGGGGAGATTCTCACCGTCTAATATGAGATGTCTACGGCAAAGAGGTGTGAGTTAGTGCTAGTAACTGGACACTGCCTTTTATAATCGCTGATGAGAAATAGGCAATTTCAGAGTGCAGTTTCTATGGTCAGTTTAATGTTTTCTTTATGATGACATGGTGCAATGAATCCTGTCTATTCATTCTGAAAATGTGCTTCTGTCAGCCGCAGTGGGAGAAGACTCTGAGGAAAGGGCTTACCCTTCTTTTCCAGACCATTTTTTTCCCCAAATAGCTCTTTGTCCTTTCTTTCCTCACAGACTTCAGGAAAATATCTTAGAAACAGTGGGTCAGGATTTGATCCTTTCCAACGAAGAACAAGAGGGTTCTGCACTGTAGGTCCCGTGCAGGCAGAGCTGTCAATCACACAGGCTGTTTATCAGCCCTTTGGCTTATACTTCAAACCTTTACTATTTCCCACAGCCTGTTTTAAAACAAACAGAAAAACACAATTGTCTGAGGAGGTAAATGGCTTTCCAGTCAGTAAACACAGAGTTGACAAAACCCAGGTCTTTTGTTGACCCATCACTACTGACATATGTGAGTGTGGGTCAGATCCTCAGCTGCTGTGAATGGACTTGGCAACACAGATGTCCTCATTTTGTGATTTGCATGGATATCTCCATGTCATGATCTGCACAGATGCCCCCATATCATGATCCAGCAGCAGTTCAGTTCTCCAGTGAGGGTGGGGTGGCAAGTCCTGCACATCAGAATGATTTGTAACTGAGGGTTTTCTCTGATGTGAAATTCAAATACCTTCAAGCAAACCAATAACTTTTGCTTGTGGATGGAAAAGGGAGAAATGGTTTTCTAGAGAACAATATTCACTAACATTTATATCATTCAACAAGCTACCATTTCTTGATGTCATTGTAGTAACGAGGAAAGGAAAAACACCTTCTTCTTGATAGAGGGTCAGAGGACCCTATCAAGGAAAACACTGTCATGAAGAAAGCATTTTACAATCAAGTAGCCAATTATGCCAAAATGGAAATAAAACTGTGTAAACGACAGAATAATTAGAGCTGTAATAATTACAGTTTTCAGTAGAAATTCTGAAATGTGAAAATGTATGAAAAACTCAATTTGTAAAAGATTAGCATAGTGCTAAGGATCAGATCAGACTAAAAAATAACCTTTTCCATCCAAGCAATAGGTCATTTTTGAACAGAAAGGAAAGTGTAGGTGGCATGAAAGGTCAGGATTTTGGTACTGTCTTAAAGAAGTACAGGTACAAATCCACAGCTACAAATACTGTCCTTTTGAGAACAAAGTGAAAGGGGCACCAAAGAGGATGAAAAAAGGTCTGCATACCCAAATCCTACAGAAACTTCATTATCCCTGAGTGCCAAGACCCGATTTATAAGGGCAGCTGACTACATTTATCAGCCTTACCTGCTGACTCTCTCTGGAAACCGCCAGCTACTCATCTTTCCAGTAAAGCATATAAAGGAGTAAATAGGAGCCCTCTGAAAGCTGAAGACTCTGTCACAACTTTCATGTTCTTCTGTTTTCCCACTGCTCTTTCTTTGTTTAATTCACTTGTATTTCCAGACCTCTCTTCTCCAGCAGGCAGCCTCTCCGAGGACCGTAGACGGGGTGCTTGAGCCGGGGTACAACGTGAGGCACTTTCAGTAAATTCAATCTGCAGAAGCCACTCAAGGCACCCAGCCTCAGATGCTCCATAAAACTGATGCAAGCACAAAGCTGGGGGTGCAATATCAGAGACCTCTTTTGAAAAAAAAAACCCCAAGACACAAAAACCCCTCTCAGCACAATATTTTAAGTCATTGACACAACTGAGCAGCAAAAAAGTCAAAAGCAGTCAATCTCAGTCAAACACAGTAAAAATATCAATGTCAGTCCAAAGTCACAATTTTCAATTTATGGGGGTGTGTATTTGTTTGTTTGTTTATTTAGGGCGAGTTTTCCATTTTTATATTGTTTACCAAGTTAAAGCAGTGCCACTTCCTGCATCTCCCTTTTCTGAACACAGTCCACACATGGGTGACAGGAGCGTAACCTGTTCTAGGCTTGGCCAGGTGATACTGTTGACATATAATCACACTTCTGCCGTTAGCAGGGCTGTCCCACATTATTTATTCAGCCCATTTACCATGGGCTTATGCCATTTTGAGAGTGAAGGTGCTGCTGCAGGACACATCAGTGCAGCTCTGTCTGTGTTTGTCTTCTCAAACAGCTCCCAACAAATCTAAATTTAGAGCACTGCCAGCCTGTCTTATCAGCTAGACACATAAAATCTGGGATTAGTTTAATTAACATTCACACAACCCTGCTGCAGAGAGTCCCCTGAATGTGGCAGTGATGGAAATCATGTGCAGACAGCAAACACACAGATGTAAGAGGGAGCACGCACTTGCCTTTTCTCGGTGCTGGCAGAGAGGTACTTGCAGTCCCTGTGCTGTATGCAACCCTGTTCCCACCCTGGGTACTGCCCTTGAGACTGGTAGCATTGAGGTGGAGGTGAAACCTCTCCATCCTCCTCCTCAGTGGCTGCAGGGAGGTATGGGGTACAGCTACAACCAGTGGGGCCTCTGTGGGCACCATTGTATGGGACCAGTCTAAGCAACGATGGTGGCACCACAGCAGCTGTGAGACAAGGCAGCCAAGCTGAGGATGAGGGATGAAGGTCTTAGCACTGAGGAAGACCCCAAATTTGAAGGACATTTTGTGAGTCTCCTCATGTTTGGCAGGCAGAGATAGCATGTTGTGCTATGGGCAGACTCATCCTCCTGCCTCAGCAGTTGCTGATGTCAGCCAGCCTACCCTTGTCCTCAGGGCTGCAGCATCCTACAGGAGTAATAGCTGGACTGATGGATGGATTTGGGCAGGGGCGGGGACGATGCTTTGGCAGGGCCATGGCATTTTCTGCACTTCTGCTCGGGTAACACACGGCTCATCCCAAGACGTGATGTGTGTTTGGAGTGGTGTCATTAGGTTAAAGCAAGAGTGTCAGGCTGGCTGGACACGTGGCGAAGGGAGAGAAGGGTCACCCTGCTACCATTACCCCCTGCAGCTGGTGTCTTCTGCAACATCATCTACAACAGAGACTGTGTCTGCATGTTAGCTGTTGGGATTTGTGACAGCTGAAGTAACCTGGGAATTCTGAATTGCCAATGAGAAAGTATTCAGCTATTTCCATGTAGGAAGGATTCTATGCTAATAGCATGGTACTAGGCATATAGTACATGAGAAAAACAATTCTCACTATTTCATGTGCTCAGCGCAATCTTTAAACCACAATCAACAAAACAGAAAGACATGGAGGGAAAAAAATTAATTTAAAAATTAATTCAGAGGGAGTGCTTACACCAGGATTAGTGATTTAATTCAATGCAGAATAACTCTAGGCATGCATAATTCAGAGTCAGCTTTGTACTTCAACTTAAAAAGGAAAAAAAATTCTGACACTTGTACTCTAACAAACTTCAATGGGATGTGCTTAACTTTTTCACTCTAAGTGTCATTACTACAAGGATTTTTTATGAGACTGGGGACCAAATGAAAAGCAGGAACTGTGATTTTCAGGATTTCAGAACAGCTTAGTAGCCACCAGCATTATGGGCATGGTTTTCAGCAGTGACTTTCAAAACTGCAATAAGTAGTCCACAGAGAGAGCTGGACACCACATCAGTGGTATTTTCAATTAGTGTGGTGAGGACTATCTGGGAGAGACATTACAGGCTGGCAGCAGTCCACAGGCTCAACTACTTTAAAAACGACTGATGTAATTTGTGGCATAAATAGTGTTTTTCTGCAGCCTTGAAACCTTTCAGAAAATAAATAAAATTTTAGTTTATGAATACACCTTACAAGTCTTTCCATCAAGCACATGTATTTGGGTTATACAAGACATGCAGTTTTTATGCCAAAAATAGGAATTCTGAATAAGTAAATATTAGATATTAGTCATATCACACATACATTGGTCTTTTGCCTATGATAGTTATTAGTAGCTGCTGAGAGAGTACCAACTTATCTATTAGATATATACATATATATACATACATATACATATACATATTTATGTATATATATGTATATATATG